GGAAACAAAAACCATCTTTGAATGGCTGCATATCTTATTGTTTTCATGAAAAAGTGAAGCAATAACTCAACTTTTGATCAATCAAAGATCAAAATCTCCATATCATTGTTGCACATTGCTGAGAGTAGCATTACAATATTACTAGGCATGGAGCTTGGACGTACCACAACATAGAAAGATACATGAAGCTTCAAACAAAGAACTAATTTACAACACATAATTTACAGTGTTTTTTCGTGGCCAACAACATGGGTTCCCACTAGAAAATGTTCATATATATATATATATATATATATATAATTAAGTTCAAGGTAGCACACGAGACGAGGATTTGGCTCGGTATCCGTAGCTAGGGGCAACTAACAGGGCAGCGGCAGCCTTAATTTGAAAATTTTCTAAAAGAACGGCATATGATTTGTGCCCTGCCCTTCCCTGCCCTGCCCTGTCCATTTTCTTGCCCTCGGGGCACATATCTCTAAAAAAAGGACATCTGCCCCAAGGAAGGGCGGGTCAGAGATTGCCCGCCATGAATGCACTGGCTTTACACGCTTGGGCCTCCTTTAAAGTAACCTCCCATATCTGAAAACTTAACCTGAGGGCAGTAACTTTTCAGAAGTTTCGACTGTCTCCAAGTGATTCTTTAGAAAGGAAATACTTTATCGTGTCAGATATTTGGTGAGAGGGGGGGGGGGGGGAGGGGGGACTTAACAGGCCCATTCCGTCACGGAACGAGTCCCCCTTGTGTATGTGATTCTGGATGTAATTGTCGTGGGGACACGGAGGTAGAGAGATCATTCCGCATGAGAACGCACGCATTGGTTGGATCACCTTTTCACCAAGGACCACTGCTTCTTTTTGTTATTTACTTTTACTTTTTCAGTATGTGAAAATTTTGAGGGTGTGGAGCGATTTGATTCCAATAAAATAATAATAATAATAATATAGGAAAATGCCACTTTCATCATTTGTGCTGTACACATTAGAACTCACACAAATTTTAGTGTCGTTCAAAATGTAAAAAAATTACAAGTTATTCATTATCATTTTATACTGGTTTAAAATATCAATTTTTTTTTTTTTTTTTTGCATGCACATATATATTAAAGTAGGAAACATATACATTGAGACATACCATTAAAATAAACCACTGAAAATTTAAGTTTGATCACAAAAATATTAAATCTCTTATAAAATTTTACATATATATATATAATCAATCCCATAGAATTCAATTATAAGCATCTTGTGAACTTGGTTTATGGTGTATTTACAAATGATAATAAGAAATGGATTTCTATAAAAAAAAAAAAAAAAGTAAAAATACTTTTGAACAACTATTTTTCAATCCAAGAGGGTGAATTTAGCTTCTTTTTGATATGTTTCACATTCTTTTCAAGTCTACCATATGCTTGATCAACCACAAATCACAATAAAAGTACATAGAAGTTATAATGTTTATAATAAAAATAAGATTATTTCTAAGCTATACACATAAACATTCTTTGACAATTGTAATGCATCATGTCTACTTAGACATTAAGTTTAAATAATAAGTGTCAGGAATGCCTATTGAAGGGTTGTTATAAATGACTACTTTTATTTATAAGATATTCATTTACATGTACCCACAAACAAACAAACAAAAATAAAATAAAATAAAATAAATTGATGTGTGCAAAAGTTGGCAATGTACCAAAGTATAACTTTGCTTGATGGAATAAGTGTTATTCCATTTAGATTGAGTCTTTAAGAATCTATTTGAAGTACCATTTTGAGCACATATTGATGTACAAATATGAGGACCTTTTAATAGACAAGTAAAAAAGTCTTGTCCATGTACTAAAATGAGGGCTTGTTGATGCACCCATTATTATTTTTTTATTGTAAGGTTGGATGTGAAAAAATAATAATAGTAATAATAATAATAAAAATTAGTTGCAATTTTCTCAATTAAAAATTATACCTTTTTGTTATGTGTGATTAATTCAACAAAGTATAGCAACATGTTTGATTGTCACTTGAGTTTTGGATGTTTATATGAATTTCGGATTTTTTAATGATTGCATTTCAAAAGTAAAAAGCAAAGTATAAGTTGATTGTATAGATAGTAAATAGTCATATAAATAAGGTCGTAATTACAAGCCTTGTGGATATTAATTTTTTACAATTTAAGAAACAAATTATATTTTCGAAAAATTATTGAAAAATTATTAAAAAATTATTTCATTTATATAGACAATATTTAAATATTACACTCACATTTTCATTATCATTCTTGAATATATAATTATTAATCTTTATAAATTAGATTTACAATTAGATGTTTCAAAATTCCAGAATTTGTTTGATTTAATGGGGCATTAGACCTTTATCTTTTTTAAAACAATAATCTCTTGAGATTTATTTCATTTTATTTTATTTTTGTGTTAAGACTATCATTTGGAATTTAAGAATAATTTTATGAGATCATATAACAAAAAATAAAATAAAAAATAATTATATTCTTGAATCAAGTGTGGAACTTTTTATACATGTTTGAAAAAAATTCTCAGAAATAAATCATAATTTAAAGTAATTTTGGTATTTTTTTCATATGTAAATTTATTCATTATTTAAAATTTTGAGAATTAAATAAAACAAACCCATTCTAAAATATTTAGATTAATCAATACAATTGGTAAGATGAAGTAGAAACATTATTATATAGATAATAACTTTAAGAAGATATATTCTTATTTTAGTTCAAAGTGTCAAATATTTTAACTCTTAAATTACTCTGTAATAAAATGAATTTTTAAAAGTGTTTATAAATTTATTGAACATTTTTTACACTTTTGAAATAAACTTCTACTTAAAGCTTGTGCAACATCACTTCCTAAAAAGATTTTGGTTGTTTGGATCATGGATCTTGTTGTGATAGTTTATCATGTATTTTTTTAATGAATTTTCCTAAAATTTGTGGTAAGCTTAGCCAATAAGATTTAAACATGTTCATAATATATTTGTAAAAAATATTGTGACAAAAAATATTTGATTATTTACTTTTTTTTAATTCATATAAATTGTGGATATCAAATCTTATTATATCTTGATACAATTATTTGAATATTTGATATGTTATAACATTTTGATGCTACATTCTTATTTTGTTAGACCTAATTATTTCTGTGTGTTAAATTTTATATCAAATAATTCTAAACATTTGATTAAAAAATATTTTTAAATCAAATATTTTAAACAATAAGAGCATGATCACAACAAACAGAGACCACATGGGACGAAGCAACAACAACAACATGAGCACAAAGGCAGCAAAGAGCTGCTTGCTGCATGGCCCTTTCCTCTATTGCGTTGCACAAGCACTACTGCCATCACCGTCGTAATAGTAGATCTTCTTCATCATCATCTTCCACAGGTGGTGTGGTGTGGGTTTTCTGGAGGCTGCGACTTTGCAAGTCAGCAAAAGCTCCAGTACACACTCACACACTCACACACATTCCCAGGAGCCAGCACAGCAGCCTGGGGTCATCACCGCACTGGAGTAGTCCACATGAATCTGTGGTGTTGGTGGAGTAGAGGAGCAGAGAGAGAGAGGGGAGCAGCTGCTGCTGCTGCTGCTGTGAGCAGATGTCAGCTTCAAGGCTGCTGCTCAGACTTTCTGGGCCAGCACAGGTTTCTCATCAACCCTGCAACGACTGCTGCATTCTCAATTCATAAACACCATTCCAATAATAAGAATATTAATACTAAAAAGGAGACCTCGGGGTTTTGGTTTTGTAGATTTGAGTAGCAGCCTGCCAGCCTGCCCGCCAGACTCAGTAGGAGGGCAGCAAGATGGAGGAGAGGCTTCCATCCAGCTGTTGTGAGTAAAAGACTTCGGCATCCCTCTGCTTCCGAACCACCGCCCTGTCTGAGCTCCATTTACCACCCCCCCCCCCCCCCATTTACTGTTTGTGCATGGATGGGTGAGCTTCTATGTGTAGTGGAGCTGGAGAGCTGGAGATTACATACTTTTTTTCATTTCTTTTTTCTTTTCATTTCTTGTGTTTCGTTGAGCTTACATGCTCCGTGATTCGAAGACGAAGAGAAAGAAGAGGGGGGTTTGTTTTTGTTTTTGTGTTTTTTTGGGGGGTGAAGCAGAAACACCGCATGCACGGAGACAGAGAGGGTCACAATTCCCAAGGAAAGGCTAGAAATCTGAGCAGTTCAGCTGGTGATTTGGGTTCCGATTACTGTGCATGGTATCCATGTCCCACAGCAGGGATCTTTCTGTGGCTTAGGAAAAAGATGTGGTGGTACTACTCTCTTCCTTCCTGTAGAGCTGGCATTATTGGGGTCTAAGTAGTGATGACAGTCATGCTGTGCGTTCCGCACATGAGAACTCTGGCAATGCCTCTCAATGAGTAGGAGAAGGTTTTGCGGTGATATTTTTTATTTTTCATCGTCCATACTTGAAGTAGTAGCAGTGGCAGCAAAGAAGATGCAACCATATGTTGCTGGTGTGTACTGCGAAACAAGAAGAAGAGGAAGAGGAAGAAGAAGAAGAAGAAGAAGAAGTAATGCTGGGTGGTTTGAGAAAATTGCTTTCAAATTTTGTGAGATTGTTTCAACGCCCAGAATTCAGCGCAATTGATATTTGAAAATGGCGTGAAGGATTCCACAGATTGATGTGGAATGTATACACCGATCAAATCATCTCATAACTTAAGGAACTACAACCTTGACCCAGATGTGGAAGTCATGTCAACTGCGTATCCATTAAAACCTTCACCGCACACTTTTCTGTACCCCAATCTCCGGTTGGCATTTACAAGTTTCATCGTAAAATAGAACTCAGAGAAAATTTACATGCGATATTCTTGAGCATTGAACAAGACTTGCTTTATATAAACGGCAATATAAAACAGCCCACAACTCACGGTACCAACGAACCCCACGTTAACGATCCACCACATCCAAGGGAATTGAAACGTAAATGTTGTCAGATGGGTCAGGGCCAATTGCCCAAGAGGTTTGCAAACGAGAAGAGGCTGAGATGGATGGGGAGAGCAACATTCCGGCGCATAAAGGAACTGAATGGCAGAGGAGGAGTTATCGTTTATCAGGACACAAATTCCGAGAGAAAGTTTCGGGGCTCCCGCCTTTGCTGGAGTGTCAAACCTCCGGCATCGGACTCCGAGCCCATCGTATCTTTGCTCAAGCGTTACTCACATGTCGCGAGAGCCTTTTGTGGTGCAATCGTGGAATCAAAAGGGCTTGCTGTATTGCCGGTGTTGTTGTGTGGTCACCTTAGACAACGTTTGCGGCGTAATTTCTCATTCAGAGGAGAGGGCAGGAGGGAGAGCCTATCTGTGACATAGTGTTGAGCGCATTGTAGTATCGAGTGAAAACCGTGTCCGGCTTCTGGTAGCCTAGGAGCGAGGAGGTGATCATCTAAGGATTGAAGTGGGGTTATGTGGTTTGTTGGTGTGTGCGCTTGGAAATGGTTTATGGGGATGGGTATTGATGAGGGGGTTGGAGGTGGAGGGAGGCCTCGTGTAGCTTGCCAACACTGGAGAAGTGAGAAGTTCCAGGGTGAATCCTTGGCCAACTGGAAGCACTATCAGCTGGCTGACGAGGTGATTCACTCGCCGAATTTGTTGGGTTCGTTGTTAGTGTTTTCTCTGTAGATGGTAAGCACGAGAAATAGAGTTGGCTGTGTTGGTTTATCCCTGGTCATGCCTGTAGCAATGAGCGATCACGGTTTGCGATTGAGCTGTCTAATCTAATTGGGTGTTTTCTTTTATGGGATTGCGAGACTGAGAGGGAGTGAAAGCGAGAGACCGCGATCTTTCGAAGCTTGGACTTCTGTCTGATATCGCTTCGTAAATTAAAATCTGCCCAAGAATGGGTTCTTTCTTTTCTGAACAAGAATGAGTGGTGCATATGGCTTCTCGAATCTTCAAACCTAACTTTCTTCTTTAGCTTCAAGGTTGTGAGTTGTGAGTGCTAGTGTATTAATCTTCTGGGAACCACCTTTGAGACCATCGATTAGTCTTTGTGATGCCCCATTGAGGTGGTAGAAATCCAAGATGAGCGTCGTTGTAACTTTTAGCGTAAGTGCCATTTTCAGCCTCAGAAAGCTGAGCTTCATCTGAAAGAATGACAATGGTTTGTGGAGGTTAGAGAAGCAGGTCTATTGTTGATTTAAAGCTCAAAGGGTCGTGGTGGTAATCTTCGAAAGCCAGTCCCAGCGTGTCTTTAGAATGTGCATTGTGTTCATGAGAATAAGAGGATTCCGCCATCACTAATCTTTTAAAGTTCTTGTGTGTAACCCCGTAGTATTTCTAGAAGTGTAGCGTAAGAGGCGTTCACAGCACACATATTTGTATCTTTGATGAACCGAATCTAATTCATCTTCTCATACCCAAGCGCCAAACTCTCTTCTTGGAAAATCTAGCTTCTTTGTTACTTGGGTTGTCTGAGCGCTTGGCCAACTTGTGTCAGAATCAAGCCAATGCGCAACTCCGATCAAATATTGCCAGTAGAGTCTACAATTTACTGTTACAGAACAGAACAGATGTTTCTACACCCCAGGTGCAGACTGTCACTGCTTCGGATCGGTTGAACGTGTCCAGACTCACTTCAGATCTTCCGTTATCTTCTCGCAACAAATAAGATTGAATTCAGAGGCCGCTCGCATCACAATTGTTAACCTCAAATTGGACTAGCCTTCTCTAGACACCTGAACAACATACTGATTGCTTTGCACCTATTTTTGATGTGACATGTTATCCTTCTCTTTACTGCGTCACTTTTTTTTTTGAGTGATGTTCTAATTTCTGTACGCTCGTCATTGTGATAGCTCATGCGAAAGACCACAAGAAAGGGCTGAGCAAACTGGGAATCTGAACTTCACTTCGAGATGAAGGATAAATCGAGGCGCTGGATTAATCAATTAGAGTCCAGTCATGAGATGCATCAGTTATTCTGGTTATGGAATGCGTAAAGGATATGCCGGTGAGGATATCCAATTGCAGGGATGCCCTGGTAGCTGAGGATGAGGTCATCGGTTCGCAGTTTGGAACGGTGTCTGTTCCTTGGACGAGAGTTAAGGTGACTGGAGCTTGAGAGTCCGATACCATGCCTTTAGTGCGGTACGAAGTGCGGTGCGAACATAGCTTGGCTAATCCCGAGCTTTACCGCACTGCGGGTCGAGATGACTCCGAGGGGTTACTCGAAGGAGTGGCCATGGCTGGCCTTGTGGGCATTGTCCGTCAGCTCGGCGACATGGCTGAGTATGTTTTTCAAATTCTCCTCAATTGTTGGAATTTTCGTGCTTCTACACACCAGTGTTGCTCCAAGTTTGTCCTAGTAACCCGGCGAATCATAAGTGGACATTGTAACCAGAGCTCCCTAACACGTGAAATCTGAGTGCCTATTGTACAAGCTTAGAACTAACTACGAGCTCGTTGTTCGGCTAGTTTCTCTGCACCAAAATTTTGCTATTTCAGTCCTGTAATTGATTAGCAGCTACCTCGGTTTGTTGCAAAATTCTGACACCAGCTTTTCCCAAGAACTTGAAGGTTGTACTTCAAAATTTGGTTAGTTGGGGTCTTTGTTTGAGAACAATAGTACCTTGTGTCATGACTCTTTCATCGCACATGTAGTCTGAAAGTCGCGTCTGACGTCCAATGCGGATGACGAGCTCGTGTTGTTGACAAAATGATATGTATGAGTGTTATATTTGCAGGTTTGCAGCTGAGATTTTCCAGGACCTTCATGACGACATCATGAAGATTGTTTCACGAGGCCAGAATTTAAAGGCCCGGGTTGCTCGTCTGGAGGCAGATCTGCCGGCTATGGAGAAGAAACTGCTTATGGAAGCTAGTCAACTTACATTCGCGTACAGTACACGTGGGTTACAGGCCTCTAGCCTCCTTCTATGTCATTCCCAATTTTAAGGTTCTACCAATTGACATTTGATACTTACGCATTATGAGCATTTTCCTATTTCAGAAGTCGACATTTTGACCGTGAAGTTGATGACGATTTTGATATGGCAGGGTCTAAATGGCGTGCATCTTTGCCAATGGACCAGAATCTTTGTGCGCAAGGAGAGGTTCCACGCTTCGTTCGTAACTTCTACGACGACTGTCGAGGTCCACCTCGATTGTTTCTTCTTGACAAGTACGCAGCTCACGCAGAGTTTGAGCGAATTGGCATCTGCAGATAGACATGTCCATTCTTGTAATGGATAGTTGTTGTTCTTGTTATTGTTTCTTTTCCGTCAGGATTCCTTAGTGATTGTTGATTTATCGTAATCTTTGCTTATCAGGTTTGATGAAGCTGGACGAGGTGCATGTGTGAGGAGGTATACAGATCCAACATTTTTTAAAATTAATTGGGTCAGCTCGCAACTATTGAAAGCTGAACAATTACAGAGACAACGAGAGGCCGAACTACAAGTAGGTGCTTTGTTCTCATCCTGCATATCCTACCAAACCTCCCCAGTTTCAGATATTTATTAATTTGACCATACTATCCGCATTCTCGAATTTCCTGTAGTAGACCAATGGATAGTTGGGTCGCAGCACAGTAGCTAGCATCATATGTTAACGTTTTTTTTCTGTCTACATCTGTGCCAGAAGAAGAATAGTGCAGCTGAGGAATTCTCGAACAATGACGGTGCAAAGACTTATACCAGGTACTGTTTTTCTTAATGCTTTGAATTCATCAGCACTTTTGCACCATTCGAAATGAACACAGTGAATAGTGATTCCAGTTTGTCAAGTAGGGAATTTGACAACACTGAAACTCTGAACATGTTGCGGAATAATCCAAAATAACAGAGAACGATTATCGTCAGCTCTCTTCGAGAATCTCGAAGGGTTTACAGGCGATTTCACCCCCGATCTGCGTTCAAGGCGATTGGACCGGGTGCTTGAGATTCCAATCGAGGGGGTTCTCACGCCGGATGAGCCAGGCTCGCCCGAAAAGCCTCGATCACCGGAGCGCAGATTCCAGAGGCGGCAACTCCCTGAAGTTGCCGAAGGTCCCGTCCTGGCCCCCCTTAAGATTAATGCTAAAGACATCCAGAATGCAGCACTGGGACGCCGGACTTCAAGATCCAACCATGATGATGGATTGTCTTGCGATGAAGAAGATGCAAGTAACGACGATTTCTACGTGGATGCGTTGACAACCATGGAGTCTGACGTAGATTCCGAGCCTGATTCTCGAACTCGGTGGGATGCCGAAGTCCAGAGCCGGTTCGCCATGGAGTTCGAGCACGAGAAATCACTCAACCAATCTATGCTGAAGTCGCAGGTGCAAGCGCACCGACAAACACAGTCTGGAGGGTCTGATGAGTTAGACCATAATGAGGACGATACGTGTAAGGTCGGTGGTTTCAAGGAGCCTGACAGCCTGGTTGTAGGTAACAATACTGTTCGTCAATGGGGGGATTCTGCTGAAAGCCTCGCTGGAAGTCCTGGCGGCCAGCCTTCCGTTGAGGACGAAGAATCGCTGTCTGTTGATGAAAGCATCGCCAACGAGTCGGCTACAAGTGAAGAATCTGACGCACGGAACGGCCATGAATATGTCGCTGAGAAGGTGCATGAGGAATCTCTACTACCCTCAACGCTCCCTGATGTGCCCCTTAGTTCTCTTCCCTATAAACCCTCCGTAAAATTGGATAAAAAACTGGATGGAAAACTGGATGGAAAACTGGATGGAGAACTTGATGGAGAACTTGATGGAAAACTGGATGGAGAACTTGATGGAGAACTTGATGGAAAACATGATGGGAAACTTACTGAAAATCTTCCGAATGATATTCCTGGCAATCTTCCCAACGAATTTCCTGAAGTGTGTCCCATTAAGCGTCCTGATACAGCGCCTCGCAAGTCTCCTAACAAAGTTGCCAAGAAGGTTTCAAAGATAACTCCGAAAAAGGCACTCGGGAAGCCTACCCTCCAATCACATGCATCTGTAGCTCTTTTGGATATGCGCAGAACTTCGACCAACGTGAAAGAGAAAGTTAGAACTTCTGTAGAGGGTAGAAACCAATCACTTGGGCTGGAGAATCAAGTCCCTCAGATAGTGAAAGAAGACCAGTCCGCTTTGGCCAACGTTGGGCAACCTGTGACTCCTAGAAGCCGTCGTCGTTGGGCAAAGGATAATGGTTCACAGATCCAAACTAGCAATATTCTAGGCTTTGCTGATACCGAACGACGAAACCTGTCTCTGAGGGTTAATGATAGCTTGGACTTGAACAATCTGCTTCGATCGCGCATGCTGGGCGGCAGCGGGCACTTCCAAGAGGAGATAGCGTCAGGCTCACAGCGTGCGGTTATTATACACGAAGATCAGTCCGTTGAAGTTTCTGAGCGCCTTGGCTACGAATCGACACAACATCGACCTTACAGGAACGATTCGTCATCGTCTGTGATTGAGTATGACGATGGATGGTACATGTCGTCAGCAAGCTCGTCTCCGAAGGGGCCAAATATTTGTGCTCTCTCACCGCCCGAGTCACCGGCAAGAGTAGCTCGTGGGTTGATGGGTTCACCTGTTGCGCACAGTACCAACCCCCAATTTGGCAGGAAAAGCCCCGAAGGTCCGCCTGTTATTCCTTTTCTGTCAATTTCACCTACGGTCTCAAGGTCACCATCGTTAAATCAGGATCATTCTTTAAGTAAAGGAGATCAATTACCGCATAATTATCCTTCTTTTGGACGAGCACTCCAACCCACACCTCCACCTCAATTAGGTGCTATGCTCCCTAGCTCCTGGCCACCGCAGACTACTGCAAGCTCTGCGCACAATTCGGATCAGGTATAACATGCTCAACCTCTACTGCAAATTACCAATGCTATACCATGCTATGCCGTCCGGTTAGATCGAATCATAATATTCTTGGATTATCTAATATTTTGCAGTCTTTTATTTTAAATATCTACTTTCTATTGCAGCTCAAGGATGTCCATGCCACCGATTCCAGGAGGGCTATTGATAATGGTGGTTTGTATTTCGAAAAAAGTAGGATCCAGGTATAGTTTTGAGCTCCACTTCTTCTAGAGTACATATCCCTGAAGTTTTACTGCTGTGAGACAAGGTTTTTGTGTTTTAAGGCTCTCGACGATGCAATGATTTTCACTCACTTTTTGAGACGGTGTCAGGCTTCCACTCTCCCGAACCCAGCTCCAAGGTCAAGGACTTGGGTCGATCGTTCAGAATCCAACGTTGCGGCCACTCTGCGTGCAATTCGCCAGGTGGGGATCCTACTTGTAGTTTTGTTTTGAAACCCTTTAAAATATGCTGCCTCAATATCTCTGTAAAAAGCTGTGGCATGGAGGAATTTGTAGAGATTTAACTACAAAATCCCTGTTTCGATGATTGATATACTTGATAGAGAAGTGTTTCTTGAAGAAGGCTCTTCTGACGTTCACTTATTGTATGTGTTGTAGGCTGCCGCAGTAGTAAGTGATCAAGATGATGATACAGGAAGTGAGTGCTGAAGTGATTGTTAATGACGGAGTCGTCACTTATGAATGACCTGGAGCGTGGTTGCCTAGCCAGCCCAAGATTTCCAGCCGTGTGGAGTAGCAAAGCGGCTGTGATAGCATCACATATGAACACGGTAGAGGAGGAATCTAGACGGCCTATTTCATACTTAGATTTGTTGATCAGTACATACCAATTCAAAGAAAAAACTTTTTGTAAACAGAGATTTTTTATTTATTTATTTTCTTTCTTTACCCTGGTTTCTCACTTCACTTCGCACTGGGCAATAAAAATCATGTAAGTGTATGGAGCGAACGGAAGTCCTGTCAATGCTCCCCTCTTGACCTAAGATGCTTGCAATGTAGGACTCCTAGGCTCTCAATAGCAACAACTAACGAACTCATGTTCTGAGAAAGTCTTGTCATCAGCAACCTGTGATGTTAGTTCACTCACATTCTCCATTGGCTCTCCTAGTTAGCAACAACTCTGAAACAACTAATCGGGAATCGAAGACCATTTCCACCAGTACTGCATGATTTATGGCCAACTCAATACTGTTCACAACCTTCTGCACTGTACTCGAAGTGGAGCCAGTATGATTCAACTTCTGAAAACCACTCTACATTTCCTGACACTGCCGCAGCAAGATTCTAAATTGGAATGCTGGTAGAGCAACATCAGTGGGGGGAGGGGATTGTCAATTTTTTTAAGGAATGTAGCTTTTTCGTGACATTCAACAAGGTGGGGTGAACCAGGGAGTGCAGCAGCCTTCTATTCACAATCAACGTTGCAGTTTTCCAGAGTATATTCCTTGTTCACAGCAAGGCAGTAGGATAGCCCTCATGGGTATGTTTTTGCCCTTTTTCCTATTCTTATTTTTTCGCCCTTTGGGTGTCGAAGTCTAGATGGCATCAAAAGAGAAACTGGGGTGTTCCCATAAGCTCCTAAAGGGTTCCCGAAAGTTCACGGTTCCGTTCCCGAATATGCTCTGGGAGAGTTCCACGTCCATGTTTCCGGAGCAGGAGGAACTCACCCGCTCGTCCTTGGCATGGGAATCAATCGCCTCTTGAATGCGAGCCTTACCATCCCAACCCAACGTATAAGATTATCTCAGATTGTAGATGAACCTGCAATTTTGTGGTGGCGACGGGATTTACAGGTAATGGCAATAGAGGGGCGGGGACGGGGTCAAATATAGTGTTTGGTGGATTTTGTTGAGGATTTCGGGAGAGGTTCAGGCGCCGCACTGTAGTGGGCCGGAATCGTTGAATTTCTTCACAGCAATTGACGGGGTTTGCGTGAATGTTGTCTTTGCAGCACTGTGGCGAAGATTGTGTTCTGATTTCTTCGCGCAACTCTTTGTAGGGTTCGTGTGCCTTGCAATTTTCGGGTAGCTGCCGGTTTTTTTTGTTGTCGCGAAGATTGGAGGCTAGTGTGTGTTGCAAGGGCTTTTGCGACTTAGCTGAGGGGAAAGCCTTTTGAGTGTGTGAACTGAGTCACATTGAATTGGCAGTGAAAGTGTTAGTTTCCTTGGCCATCGTGTTCTTAAGCAATCAGGGTTGTATCTCAGAAAGAATTTTGGAGAGCTGTCGGGGCTGAGTAGCATCAAGCTGTGTTTTGCGTGTTGAGGAGTTGGTTTTCAGACTCTCTTATATTATATTTCCATTGGTATCTTTGGAGAATCGCAGTTGAGTTCTCGGGAGATCCAGTGTAACCAGCGGGGCGGATCCTCATGCTCTGCGACTAGGGGCTTCCAGGGGTTTAGCCAATTTGTTTGACGGTTTCTTTGGAATCCTGAAGATGCCCTGCTTGCAATGGACGGTTGGAGGCGGTGGTCTTGCGCTGCCCCAGTTGAAGGTGAGGAGGACGCTGCGTCCACCCGGTGCTATTGGGAATGCCCGTGTCGGATTGCGACAATGGAGAGGCAAGATGGAGTGGAAAGGTGTAGCGGGAAGCGACAAGGGTAAAAATGCCAAGAGCGTTGAAGGCGACGCTGTCAAAGTTTCGGCCATGTCATCCGGGTATAGTTTTGTTATGGTCTTGACTACCCTGTGGTTTAGCTAATATGCACGAATTGTCCATGTTTCTATCTTAATTTCACGTTCCCGTGCATTGTTCTTCATGCCACTCGTGGATATTTACCACGATGTTATAGTCTGTTTTTAAACGCTTGCAGCAGCCAACCGAGTAGCCTGGTGGCGTCGCATTTGTCAGTGCAACTTTGACAGAGAAGGTTTTGATCACGGTTATTGCAGAGCGGAAGATGCAGATGCTTTTTGCATTATTGAAGGGCGTGATACGGTAATGGACTTTGCTCAGATGGACCTTCAAGAGATTCGGGATAACATCACAAGGCGCCGCAACAAAATCTTCCTTCTCATGGAAGAGGTCAGTTTATTCTATTTAGTGTTCAGTTGTTCCAGAGGCTTATTGTGACCATAAGCTGTCTTAAAAAGTGCAGATAAAGAAGGACTCTTTCGTCATCGTAAGTTCTTATTTGGTTTCACACATCTCAATCATATTTTTAGTAAAACCAGCCTGTAGAATTTGAAATGACGGAATGGAGCTAACATATTTGAAGTCAGAAGTTGGAGGTTTCTGACTTCAACACGGAATTATCCACTTCTGGACGTGTATAGATGCGTTGATAGATTGCCCGCCAGTCTTTTAATATTGTGAACCTCGCTTATTTTATATTTTATATTATTGGTTTTGCAACAAGAATGTGGTACTTCCCCGTGCTGTTGATGAACTCAGATTCAAGTAACAGAGCCAACTTTTCGTAGAAAATGGTTAACGGATTTTTCATCATTCCACAATGTGGTGTATTTTCCAGGTTAGAAGATTACGCATTCAGCACAAAATCAAGAGTACGGAGAAAGGCATTGAGGATGTTGCTGAGAACGAAGAAATGCCAGAGTACACGTCTGCCATCCCACTGCTCGCCCCAATGGTGTGTTTAACTACATCGTTTTGGATAATAGATTTGGAAGTTAACAGCAGTCAGCTCATTGGTGAAGGTTTTAGGGCTTTGTCTAATTGAAGCGTTACCTCGCCGAAGCAGCTTCATGTTGGTAAAAGAATGTCACGTGGTTGTGATTGCTTTCTTAGCGTTTCACTCGAGGTGTCTTTTGGAACGTGTACTGTAGTGCTCCTCACCCTGTTAAGCTTTGAGATAGAATCATTGTGTATATGCCAGTGAGAATTGTGATCTATGTAGTTTTTACATTGATCTGACCTGCTTTTACAAATCTGGCCTAAGTTGTAGCTCCAAAATTCGTGAGCCTCAATGTATGACTGGTTATTTGTTTAATATTAACAATGTATGACTGGTTGATGTCATGCGTGATCGTCACCTAATTTATTAACCTAAAATTGCGTATAATTTGATCGTCATCATTTGAAGATTCTTTTGGCATGAAGATGCATTCGGAAATAGACCTGTTGATTTTGGACAGTAATTTAACATAATATTTTTACTTGCAGACTCAAGCAACTTTGAACCAGTATTTCAGAACATGCCTCATAATTGTGATTGGAATCGTCCTTTTCGGTGGCCTTATCGCTCCTACTGTAAGATATTGCCTGTTCTGTGTCTTGTGAAATACTTGATTTGTTATTGTTGGAATAATCGATAGTGCTCACCTTTAAATTGCTATTATTATCAGAAAAGTTTATAACTACTCCCTTATCAGTGTGATGTGGGATATGTATTGCCGAGAACAGCTGGAGCTGAAGCTGGGCATTGGAGGTACATCCTACGCAGATTTCATTCGCCATATACACCTTCCCATGCAGCTAAGGTGCTTTCAAACTCATCGCTTTAGTTTTTATCTTGTGCCTGTCAGCCATGCTATCTTTTCAACATTATTTTCATACAAAAACACTTCACTTCATGGAGTTTGAAAGAGGGCCGTATTTTTATACTTCTGTGTCTACAAGGTTATATATGTATATATTTAAACACACACACACACACATATTAGCTTTAAACATATACACATATCAAAATATGTATTCTTTTGTATAATCTTCATTAAACCTATGGTTGCTTAAAGCTAAAATTTAACGTGTGTGGGCGTAGTGAAGTGGATCCTATAGTGGCATCGTTTTCAGGCGGTTCTGTCGGAGTCATTACATCTCTCATGGTTGTGGAGCTTAACAACGTGAGGAGGCAAGAACAACAGCGGTGCAAATACTGCCACGGCACTGGTTCGTCTCAATTCTATATATAATACCTTATGAACTTTTAAGATACTATTTATTAATCTGAGCGTTTCGTGAGTCATTTTCCACTGTCTTCTCATTTACTTCTTGATAGGGTCTATTCTACATTGTTACAGATTCCACAATTGTGGAAGACAAGGAATGATAAATTCATAATTGTGTTCTGCTGGAATGCAGGGTACTTGGCATGTGCACGTTGTGCTGGTTCTGGGTCCATTGTTGGTATGGAGAACGGTGGAACCACAGCTGCTTTAGCTTCATCAAGTTCCACCGAACGTTGCCCGAATTGCGCTGGTGCTACCAAGGTTCTTAATCTGGCCCGCTCCTTATCTTAAGCGTAATATTACAGTTCTGGAATATGGCTTGTTAATTTGAAGGAATTTAATCTGAAGCGCACATCAGTACTTCTGCGATCTGTAGTTCGGAAACCTGTACGATGTGGATGTGTGCTCCAAGTGTTTTTCGTCCTTTCACAATTGGATTCAGGGAGGTTCGCTCATCTTCTTGGATTGAATTTTCCTTTGTCTCCCTTCTACAGACATGCAAGCCAGAATGTTACACGGTTCAAAGCTTACGTTATCAAAGGGCAATATATAGCCTTAGTTTCTTTCTTTTATGTAGTCGTTGCTGACCGGGAATTGAACACACTTGCAGGTGATGTGTCCAACATGTCTCTGCACAGGCATGGCACTGGCTAGTGAACACGATCCTCGCATTGACCCTTTCCAGTAAGAACTGGAATACCTATTTGAATACTGCTGTAGATATACTTGAGCAACATGTTGACCAATTTCAATGACCAGCAAAGCTTATACCGGGCTCTATTCTATATTCCTGACGTAAAGAAGAGACCATATGGCATATTTGACAGCCACTCCATGTCATCCACTTGAAAATATGGTTTGATAAGTGAGGCGTACAAATTAAATATCTTTGAAAGTTACTATCGACTGTTGTTTAAAAGTCTGTTAATTAGAGTTTCATTTTCAACCTTATATTCTTTTGTGCTAGCATTCTAACCAAGTACATAATCTCTTGGCAGGTTGACCTCGCTTCTTGAGGTCCGCCCCATCAAGTAAATCCTCAACTCAACTAGTTGCTTTTCCTTTACTCAACTCTCAGATGTGATAATCAAGCTGGGAGTCACCTCAATGTTCCATTCTGAGTTCGAATCTTTTAATGAGACCACTATACAAAGCCACAGATACGAACACATTTAGCAGTTGAATTTAACCTGCTCATGATTGTTGGATACTTTCCCTATAAAAGTACGGGAGTAGAACATTAGACTTGTGAATCATGGAAACTTGACGAATCTGTGACTACATTCTAATATTTTTTCACCCCTCTTTTGGGGAATGGACTAATTACAAACAATTGCTGTTCTAATCCACCTCAGTTTTTTTTTTTTTTTTTTTTTTTTTTTTTCCCTGCTCTTTGGCCATAAACAGGATGTGCCCCTGGCTCTAGAAGAGTAATGAACTTCATGTATGAAATGCGTTTTACCTGGTTTTGTAACGAAATGTTTTGATTATTTTAGAAATGTAAATGATAGTCCTTTAATGGAAAAATTAGTGGAAAATTTTATTTATTTGTAATCATAAAAAATCAACAACACTTAGTTTGAAATTTTGATAATTGTTTTTAGTTAGTAATTATGTAATTAACGTTCAAGAATCTTCACATTGAACTCAAATTAATTTTCGTTTCTTTTTATTTTTTTCTTGTGCAATACATTCTTGGAATTCCTAAAACAATATATGATTTTATTTTGTAGCATAATGATAGACTGTACTAAAATTATCGAGTTTTATAATTTAGATTTTTATTATAATATTATTAATAAGATCAATCTTTTATCAAAACTTGTTAAATGTTGTTCACCTTGAATAGGACATAAATCACAAGATGCTCTTAATACAACTCTTCTAAAGTATGTGTAAAGCAATCTTCTTGCAAATAAGTTTATATATAATTAAATTCATTTACATTTATATTTATTTTAATGCAAACTGAATTTATATTAATGCTTCTCTTCTTTCAAAAATTCTTAAGAATCACGTAAATAGCAATTAGTAGCTACAGCTACTTTAGAATTTAAAAGATGAAGAAGATTTAGGAAACATGTGGCAAAATGATACAAAAACAACTACTACTTATAATTTGTGTGAGAAGTTTTTAAGTAGTTTTTGTACAATATTTTTTAATAACAAGTTATTTTTTTTCATTTGTTTTCTTGTCACAATAAATAGGTTAAAGGATACATTGTAACACATAATATTGGTGTAATGTTGTGAATGTACACACTTATAATTTTTACTCTTTTTAACATTACAAAGAAGTAAAATTAAAAAATTGATCACATTAAACATAACTGTTAAAAATATTAAAAAACCATAAATAGGTTTTTTAATATATAAATTACCATAACTTCAGTTTTTCAAGATAATTCTTTCATCATCATCATCATCATTTTTTTTTTTTTTTTTTTTCTTTTTTTTTACATGCTTCAATTAATAACTTTAAATTATTAAATCTCTAGATGAATGAAACTTACAATATATATATATATATATATATATATATATTTTCTTGATGAACTACTTAAAAATGTGTCATATAACAATATTTTTACTATATAATATTTTGTTACATGACAATAGACTTTAATAGATCATAAATCAAAGGAATTGCTAGGTGGACACCTCTTTTAATGCATGGATATTGTTGTGCTATGTACCCTTATATGAACATAATAATATCATTCTTATTTTAATCTTTTTTGATAATGATATTATTACTATTGAGAAGAATCATTAAACAAATAAAATTAAGTAAATCAAGTTTAAGACTTTTTTTTGTGGATGAATGATTGATATCAAATACTAAAATTTAGATGTATATTCCATATGAGAGAAAATAAACTAAAAAATTATGCAGTCAACTTGCACAAATGACTGGAAGAACAACAATATTTGTTTTTTTTGTTTTAAATAATAATGTAAGCAACCACACAAGGATGTCCACGAAGGAAAAGGGGTTTGTGGTTCCCCAAATCAATTGATATTTCAGAATTAGAATGGTTTGTATGAAAAAAATTCTAAAATAAATCAATATTAAATTTAGTATTATCTTTTTAATTATCGAACTGCATAAAATTTTAAAATAAAGTTATGACGGTAATATAAATTCAAAAGTTGAATACTTTTTGTATTTGTAAATACTTAATATATTTATGAAAGCACATGGATTTTTACATGTAATTTTATCATTTAAAGGAGTGAAGTTGTATTGTCTTTTATTCTGCTGATGATAAATTTTTACTTAAGCAGCTAAATTTTTTTGCAATGTAAAATAAAAATGTTCCTAGAACGCAAAAATTATAAGTTTGTGTGTATTTTGCACATTTTTCCAATAACATCTATTCTAAAAAAAATGCAATTGAAGGATGAGATTCTAAAAGTTTATCTTACAAATCGCATGTGAAGCTCTTACAATGGAACAGTTTTTAGTGCCTCATTAATATTTGGATTTTACATACTTGTCATTGTTATTAAATCAAGTGTTGAAATAAAACAAAATAAAATAATACCAGAATACACATCCTTCAAAATCATCACACGAACTCAATTACATGTTATGAGCTATGAAGAATGTATTATTTGTCAACATAAATATACACACATGAATAAAAAGCTTACAAAAAGATTACAAAAAAAAAATGAAATCTAAAAATGCAATAACGGTACCTCACATACTAAATGTGAACAATCATATATGAAACAAAATTCAACACATGATATACTTTCCAAAGGTACCCAATAACTCAGTCATATGAAAAAATAAAGCTACACTTCCACCAAATAATAAAAAAGAAGTTAGCAGAGTGTGAACAAAAATTAACTGCACCCCTGAGAAGCATGAAGTTTCGTTCATCCATAGGATGATTACTAGGTTAATCCACGGACGGAGGGATATATCATTCAAAGGGCGGGTGACCGTGGTCTGAGGGGTGCCCTGGACCCCAGAATTAGGGCACCCTTAGGGGTCCGGTCTTGGGGGGACGTCGTCCCATCGCCGCAGCCGTTTGCCCTCCTCGTTGCCGAGGGCGCTTTCCAGTTCTCACATCGACGCTACAAGGCCCTGCCAAATGGCGAAGGAAGAAAGGAAATTCGACGCTATCATCAAACTAGCTCTCCTCCGGGCTCGGATCCACGGCGCTGGTCACTTGGCATTCCCACCCAACTGATCAATTTTGCAACTTTCCGCGCTCAGTTTGGTGCAGTGATCCGTCAGGGCCCCTTCTCCAGCCACACTCGGGCACGCTGTGAATCGTGAGTTTTGTTTGTGGGATCGAGCTTAACACGTGGTCGCGGTTTGCTTCTGTTGTTGCCCAATCGGCCCTAGCGTGGTTGAATTCGTGATAGAGATCGTAATTCCTGATGCAATCCGAGTGTGTCTTTGTGTCGGGTGCCTGTGCGTGCGTGGGTTTTAGTGTCGGACTCTCGTACGGGAGTTTTGGAGTTGTTTGTAGATTGTGTTGATGATGTGTTGGTAGTGTCGTCGTTGGGCCTTCAATGTTTGATGAAGGTATTTTTGAATTGTGAACTACCCAATTTGAGGAAGTGTGGGAAGCTTACCGATTTGGAATTTGACTTCGCCTTGTTGTGCAGCAGGTTTTTGAATATTCCAGCGCGATTGCTACAGTGCAATGGACGCAGCTATGCTGAAGTACGTGCTAGTAGGCGGAGGTGTTGCAGGGGTAAGAGATTCTTTTATTTTGCAGCTATGGTGATCTCTGCAGTGAAGAATGAGGTCCTCATTTTTGCTATTAATTTTCTTTTCTTTTCTTTTCTTTTCAAGCTTCGTTCCTAACCTTGAAACATATGGGGAAGTTCTGAAGTTAAAGTTGTATTTCTTTCATTAAAATTCGCAGGGATACGCAGCGCGGGAATTTGTAAAGTTGGGTGTGAATCCTGGAGAGCTTGCAATTTTCTCCAAAGAACCGGTACTAAATACATAGCGTATCTGTGCAGTTGCCATGCTGAAAATGGGTGCCCCACGTTGCTTAGAACTGCTCTTCAAATTGCTCAAATGTATATGATAAGTCTGGTGATCTTCGACATTCTGTTACAATGTCTTGTCGTCTGTGAATAGTGAGTTGTTTGACCCTAACAACATGGTATTGATACCCCAACAGGTTGCGCCCTATGAACGGCCCGCCTTGAGCAAGGCATACTTGTTTCCTGAATGTGAGTATTAAAGCTTTGGAAACACATTGCACTTATACTTCATTCCATGCTGCTTTTTCTGCTTCGTCCTTTTTGGTTTATTCATTCATTTATATTTTCTAGGTCCACATAGCAACTACAACGTTTTGGTTTCTGTCGGAGTGGCATGGACCAGAACACGAGCTAGCTAGGTACACAAATACAAGCCCGTAAACGGGGCTGAGTAGGTAGGAGTTACTTGCAGACGTTTGTTGCGGCTCAAAAGAGTGGATTGTTGGTACTAAGAGGTTTATTCTCCGTAATTTTTGCAGCGCCTGCAAGGCTCCCTGGTTTCCACACATGTGTTGGCAGTGGTGGAGAGAGGCAAGCACCGGAGTGGTATGCTGATAATGGTAAGGGACTTGAGAGATGAGCATTCACGACTGGTATAGCAGCGAACTGTCCAGTAAAAACGGTTTCATCAAGCCATCGCAGAATATCATTTGAAATGGGAACAAGTACTTAATCATGTATACATTTTGTGTAGGCATTGATCTTCACTTGAGCTCCGAGATTGCTAAGGCAGACACAAAGAGCAAGACCATTACAACTGCGCAAGGGAAAACTTTTGAATATGGTTCACTTTTGATTGCAACTGGCTCTACAGTAAGTCTCTAGTTGCCACTTGTTTGATAACTCTTCAAACCTTTGCATTCATAGTATTCACCGTCTCCTTACATGAACTTCCTTAACTTGCTATTCATACGTTGCGTGGTATGGCTTGCAGTTTATTAACCTGGCCGACTTCAAGACTCCTGGAGCTGATGCTGGAGGTATTCACTATCTGAGAGAAAAAGATGATGCCGATAAGCTGGTGGAAGAGATTGGAGCCAACAAAGGAGGCGAAGCTGTGGTTGTCGGAGGAGGCTACATCGGTGTGGAATTGGCTGCGTGTCTTGCCCTCAACTCAATCAGGGTGACTATGGTGTTCCCTGACCCACATTTCAGTGAGATTCTTATCCACACCTTAACTGTGACTACCCTACGTGTTATCATTGAGACGTGCAACTCCTACCTGTTTAATTTGGCTCTGAAACAAGGCTTTTCACCTTCACAGTTTGCCTTCAATGTTTGCTCATCAACTATGTTCAACCTTCTCAGTCTCCCTTCATATTTTGAACTCGGAGACTCGACCTTGTTATTTTTGATGCGTAGATCACACCATGAGGTTTATTCAGCTACATGATTCTGAACGTTTCACTTGCTGATCCGCAGTGCCTCGCTTGTTTACACCGGAAATAGCTTCGTTCTACGAAAGCTATTACAAGGCAAAGGGTATCAACATCATCAAAGGAACATCCGTGACTGCGTTTGAGAAAGATGATCAGGGCAATGTAAATTTCTTACCGACCACACAGAAATAATGACATGGAGCGTGTCCATGTCTGTACGTCAAATATCCAGTGAATAACCTCAAGTCTTAAATTCTTGCCGTCGAACCTGAATTTCAGAACCTACTACTGGTCAATGTTGTTTCACCATTCTTAATTTTTCTGCTTTTCTATGCATCATCGTTGAACTACGAGTGAAATAATGTCAATTGTCTTGCTTCCAGTCTAAGACGAACAATTGATACAGGTGGTGAAGGTAATCCTGGGAGATGGCCGGTCGTTGTCAACCAACCTTGTAGTAGTGGGTATTGGTGCCAGACCTAACCTAGGACCATTCAAAGGCTTGCTGGAGGAAGAAAAAGGTGGCTTCAAGGTAACAATCTTCAAACCAACTATTATGTACTTCGGGGAATCAGCATGAGCGGCATGTTTTCGAATCCATGAATCTCTTTCGGAACATGTCACGAACTATCACTTACTTTTTATTTATTTATCGTATGATCACAGGTGGATTCTTCTTTCAGATCAAGCGCGGAAGACGTGTATGCAGTCGGTGATATTGCAACATTCCCATTAAAGATGTATGGTGACAGGCGACGTGTCGAGCACGTGGACCATGCCCGGAAATCAGCTATCCAAGCTGTTCAGGTTTGTAATATAACCCAAGTTTTCGTCCAATCGGTATTCTACCCCGTGTATTCTGGTAATTTAACTCTTACATTTTCGTTGTAAATCACGCCTTTATATTGAAATGTTCAAATTGTTGCGAATCCAGGCCATCAAAGCCGCTGAGAAAGGCGAAACTGTGGACGACTACGACTACCTGCCCTTCTTTTACTCACGATCTTTCGACCTCTCATGGCAATTCTATGGAGACAATACTGGTGATTCTGTCGTCTGGGGTCTAGATGGAGCAAGCGCTTCAGGCTCCAAATTCGGCGCCTACTGGATAAACGATGGCAAAGTAGTGGGTGCATTTTTGGAGGGTGGGTCTCCTGATGAAAACAAGCTTCTTGCCAGAGTTGCACGACAGAGGCCCTCAGTGAGCAGCAAGAAGGATCTGATCTCTGGCGGCTTGGATTTTGCCGCGAAGATTTAGAGGTTTTCTAGCTAATCCACACGACTTGTTTAGATTTTGTAAAGAATAGAGTCTGTCTCATTTAATAAATTAATGCATATTCGAAAAATTCTATGAACCTTGTGTCCAAATCTGAAATCTCTTCGAACGTCTTTTAATCGTGGTTCGTGTCAGCTATCGTTCTTTGCATTATCAGTGCTCAGGTGCACTTAAAGTCGGTTTATTTAATACTTAGTAATCTTTACAGAATTATTGAACTGTTGTATACAAGGACAAAAACTTCACAGAAGCTAATCTAGAATGTTAAATGTACATAAGTGCTTGTTGAGCCAGGCAGAAACGGTCAAGTCCCACAACTCATAGGATAGGAAGAGACTAGACCTCGTAAGGAAAGATGGGACAGTCGAGACCGAATACATCTCCCAAGGCCAAGTTAAGATTCTATTTAAGCTGGAGGAGCGTGAGATATTTTTTCTACCCAGCAGTTGACTCTCGTTCCAAACTCGCTTCTCTCGGATTACTGTTCGCTATCTTCTCTGGAAATCCATCTTCGAAAAGAACATCAAATGTTGCATTACCCTACACATCAACTCAAATTACGTATTGGCTACACTAATTCAACATTTAGGCGCAGAGCAATGACAGTTTCCAAGCCAAAATCATCCCTTACAACGATTCAATGAATGACATGTACTTAAAAATGTGAAAAATCTAGAGAATAAAGGAAGCGTGTGGCATCAACCTGCTGAATATGGTCATGCAACTATATTCATAGCCATCTTTTATACGGCCATAACTAATCAACAGTGATGCAGAATGGAGCATGGCACTGCAAGTAACTACCGAGTCTCGTGGCAAGCATCAGTAGTGCAGATTTAATAACAGCGTTTAGGAAATAAATAAATAAAAAAACTAACAAACAAACAAACAGTAGAGATCATTTAGAGAGATTTGGATCGGCATCAGTGGTTTCAACAAAAAAAACATTTGTGGGTCTCGTCACTGAATTGGTGTTCTTTGCGCAAGTCCAGCCTGAAGCTCGGCGAGAGAAGAGCCCTCCGTCTTCACGCACCATGATCTATCCGAGACAATATCAACGCCATGGCGCGCGACACTCCACATGAAAACCTGCAGAAACCCCTCGTGTAGTCCCCACCGGGAACTGTGCCGTGTGCAGAAATTTCCACAGCCGAAGCGACATGTGACCTAGTGACATAGACCCGCACCGACAAAATCCTGAAATGCAGGCCGGACATGCTTTGGCACCGCAACCCGCTTGTACAACTGCAGCACACTAATCTCCTCTCCACCACAGGAAAGTTGCCTAAGCTTGCAAAATTCAAGAGCAAGACAAGTAGGTAAGTAGGATAGTACAAGACACGACAATTCAGAAGATTTGTAAAATCAAAAAACTAATAAAAACTTGAATAATAAGTTAGAATTTAAGCCAGTGTTCTTTAATATTATTAAATGAATTTTTTGCCAAATTTGAAAAGATCCAACTTTTTGTTGATTGTTAACCTTTATACAAATTAAATAATATTATAAACTTTTTATTAGATTTAAAGTTTCTAGGTTTTTTATAGTATGGAGTTTGAATATATATATATATATATATATATATATATATTTTCCTAAACCAAATATATATATAGCAACCAAATTTATATGACAATTATCATCTTCATAATAAAAGGTAACATAGATGGATTGTGAGTACCAACTTTACAAAAAAGATAAAGAAAAAAAATTATACAAAGGTCTAAAAATAAAATCTACCAAAGAAATTTTGATTAGAATTATTCAAATATATAAAAAAATTAATAAAACTATAAAATAAAGAGGATTGCAATCTAATCTTTTTGAATAAACTAAATAAATCCAAAAATAATGATTTGAGGTGCAAATTAGTAAGCATAGGATTTTACAAAGTCATAAGGAATAGAAAAAAAGTGATGGAAGGATTAAGAATAATAATATTAGGTTTATAGACAAGAAACAATGAATTTGCAACAAAAGAGACATTTTGGTGGACAATATCTTAATATGTGCAAATATCAAATTTTTGTCTACATAAATCATCTCTAAATTCAAAAAATATTTTCAAATAATAAAATTTTAAATGTTCAAAAAAAATTAAAAATATGATAGTATTCTATTATTGACTCTTTACATAAGAAATAATAGATGTCAAGTACCAAACTAATAATGAAATGATAAAATAAAAACTTACAATGAAAAAATTATTCAAAATTAATGAACAAGTTGAATAATATCTTTAATTTACAATAACACTCACAAATAGTTTTAGAATTTGCTATTCTTTTAAATTCCTCCTAAATTTTTAACTAGAATTAGTGTTGCAAATGCACCATATTTTGCAACATCATATATATATATATATATATATATATATATATAATCAAAGTATAGAATAGATTGCCATTATTAAGACCTATACTAAAAACTATAGAAAATACATATTGAATTTATTGGATTTACAGTATTTTATATTTGCAGACTCTTCTATGCTACAGTAATGGTTAGATGCATTATCATGAGCACGAGTTGGTAAAACTACAGTTACATGTAAGATTATTTAACAAAGCAAGCCTAAGGACTTTGAACTTTCTCCATCATCAAAAATAGGCTTGTGCTCTAAACATCAAGGACATACCCGGCCCAAAGTGGAGAGCAAAGCCATCTCTACCAGCCGTGTGCTGCTGATAGAAATCAAATTTCCACATACCTGCTGTGCAACAATCGGGTTCTGGGCATAGATCTAAATTGCCGATGTCGAAGTTGTCGAGGTTTCTTCCGTGGCTTCTCTCTGACGAAGACCTCTCTCAGACTGCATTATCTTGACTACCTTGATGTGTAAAGGATGTAATCGATTAGAAGTTCGATGGAAAACAGCTTGCAGGAGGCTCAGTGCAGGAAGGTCCGAAGGAACCGAGGCAGAGTTTTGAACAGACAATGAGCGGTCTTTGGTATTATGCGGACTCAGATTCTCCCTTTCAGTGAAACCGCCACGGTGTCGGCATTCGTACTGATTCTGGTTTTGAGTGCCACTGTCGGCAATCGTATCCATATACTGATGCCATGTGCATGTACAGTTAAGAATCGTAAATCGAAAGTTTACAGGATCAAGGGACGACGCAAGCGAATTACTAAGAGAATATTCCATTACAGAGCTAGCGTGGTGGTGAGAATACATACCCAACTTGAGCAGAGAGTAACAAAGCATACTCACTTACCATGGACACAGATAGATAGTTAATGCCGAGGTTCCCATAAGGGTGATCCTGAGATTCCTTTGTCATAACCAGGCACCCTGGTCAGTATGCCTGATCGTGCACAGTGCTGTAGTGTCCTATAAATAAGAAATAGTTGAATGTCTTTTTAGCTGCACCTGCTCAAAATATTTTGCTTTAATCAACAACACCACATGACTGCCGGAAGAGTAGTGCTTCTCATACGACGTTCGTCACCTTTGACTTGGGTTTTATGTGTTGCGTTTTAGCCTTCACTCACTTAAAGAGATGGAGTTGGCGGTTGGTATACGTAATGCAACTTTTCCCGAGATAATCGTGAATAAATTTGGTGATTTAAATACACACTCTTCATATTCAGCAGAATTTGGGACAACGTTCGTCTATACATTGATGATATGATGATGAATGTACATGTTTCAAATCCATGGAAAACGACGATCAAACTCATGAATATTACAGCATTGCAGTGTCGCTTTAAAAACCTCGGTCAACGAACGAGGACAGTAAATTAGAAGATATCTTTGAGATAAGACTAGTGAACGAGAAAGAGACTTGATAAGTATTCTCACAAAGAGGTGAGAGCAGTCACCTTATCTATGGCACCATCATAATCCGATGAACAATATGATTCCTGTCCTAAATTACCAGCTATCAAATGAAACCCTATAGGCTACCAGATCCTGAGCTGAAACTTAAGTTGATACATTCTCAAGCCATCGGGGTCGGTGTGAGCCCAAGATTATCACTCTACAGGCACGCTTTCTTACATGATTAACAATATCAGTGACCCTAATACGATCGGCCACGTTGAGGAATCAACAGAAACCACACAGATCTTTGCCCCCCCGAAGAAAAATGTGGGAAATGAAAATGTAAACTAATCACTGAAGTGAAACGCAGGTTGTGACGTGCTATGATTGATAATCATTCCTATCTACTATAGACTGCAGAACGCTAACCTTCTGCTTCCCATATGTGAAGCGGCAAATGTTGAGGGCGCGTTGGTTGGCAGCCTTGAACTGGGCGGATTTCTTGCCGAAGGTTCTCCTCGATGAGTCTTTAGCAACTACTGCCATGTGTAATGTGGTTTCACTGCCGGGGCAAACCGTGACAAGAGCTTCTACGATGGTTTCCAGATGAGTGTGAAGGTCGTGGTCGCCGTTAATCAAATCGATGTAGTGCACGAAGGATGAGCGGACCCAATTGTTTTCTGCTTCATTCAGTTTGAAGTCCTTCAACTTACTCTCCAGAATGTGAAAGCATCTCAGTGCTTCCGTGGTTTGTATCTCTGACAGCTTCTCGTCGGTGCCGAATTCGGACTTGGACTTACTTGCTAACTCCATCTGCGAGACAGGAAACATTTTTGTTTAACTTGGGTCAAGCAGAAGGAATGAATTCACTTAGGGTTCGGATGAGAGCGTTGAATACTAACCAGCTTCATATATTGCTCGGTAACTTTGGAAAGTGAAGTGTCTAATGCGTCCTCAAGCTTGCAACGCGGACAGTAACAGACGAAACCCCATCCCTGGGTGCTCGACTCCCTCCGCTGGTCGAAAGGCTGAAAGATATCGAAGTAGGGACGTGTAACTTCGTCGCCTGCACGCAAGTCCCGGGATGCAAAGACGAATAGTGCTTTGCCTACAAGAATTGGGCAGCAGCTGGGAAGACATGAGTGATTAATGAACGAGGGCAACCACCAAAGCCCCCAGTGCTCAACCTGCAAGTCAGTCAAACTTTTGTGATCAGACGGGGACGCACTTGGTTGACAAAAGTTGCGAAGGTTTTGAGAGAGAAAAAAAATGCAGAGTCACAATTCCACATCGAAGGGAACCAGCAGAGTAGAATCACACCGACCTTCCTATCTTGCTCCCCAGAGCCAGGCAGATTCTTCCACCCCATTGTAGCGTCACCATTGATCGCATTGAACCGGATGATACAGCGGATGCGTGAGGCATTTAAGCGTTCTTGAGGTCCGGATTCGAAATCGGTACAGTTCACAGATGGGCACGGAAGAGCTTTTTCTCCGTCATAAAGCGTCGGCATTTTCTCGAGGCCTTTGTTATGTGCTTGAGCAGCGTCAAAAATCTTGCGGAACCCCTCCTGGACTTTTCCGTTCACTAATCCCTGCGACATCTCGGTACGTGAGTGATCCCCCTCCTGCAAAGGTAAGAAAGCGATAGGATTCGACACAAGTAGCAGTTCCCCTGCTTCCACATCTTTTGTTAACACAAGCCCTCGTCCACGCCCCCTGCCCACGTCGGTAATAATCACAGGACCAATGTAGTCAGCGCAGAACGGAGACTCGCCCGCCTGTCTCCCCTTTAGGTAGTAATGCGCCAAGTCGTAATGGCCATGACAACTTTGCTGTACTCCAGTACTACACTCATGCAGCGCAGCTTGAAGGTCTCTATCAGTCGGCGCTCGAGGAGCTGCTACCTGTACGAAACGGAAAACGTCATCACAAGTTCGGCACGAAGATGGCAGCAGGAGCTACTGCATTCAACCAACAAAACTCTAGCAAACGAACAATTGGACTCGAGGTTTCGAGTTTATGGCTGCAACACCTGCAGTGTAGTGAGTGCTTGCTCGTACTGACTGAGCCCGAGCAACGCCCGCCCCTTCCTGAACAAGCTCTTGAGGTGGTTGGGATCTCGTGACAAAGCTTTCTTAGCATCCGACAACGCCTTCGCATATTCCTGTAGCCTGATGTAAGCTTCGGCACGGTTAGAGTATCCAAGTATAATCTCGCTCTTACAGACTAGTTTCCCCTGTCGCTCCTCCTCCGCCTCTGCAAGTCGTATGCTCCTGGTGTAAAGATCTGCTGCGCCTTCATAATTCTCCTCTCCAAACAGTATGTTACCCAGCACTCTAAGATCATTGGAACTGTGTGTTTCAACGAAGTCTTTGGACACTTGAGTAGCTTGCTCTTGGATGTTAGAATTCTCCTTCTCTTCTTCGTGACGTGGTTTCTCCAACATGGCAGATTTACCAGCCTCTACAGAGCCGGACTCCCCATGAGCTTTGTCGACTCTAGCTTTAGAGTCTTCGACTTCCTGCACTGCTAACAAACTGTCGCTTCGCTGAAACTGCTTCCTAATGAGTGGGATTTTCTTCTCTGGGACACCTTCCGAAACTTTAGGCTGTGTCTCGACGTTTACAGGGTTGCCATTTGCATGACCAACATCCTCTAGGGTTTCAGCTTGGAGTTTGCTGGTCAACTCACTCAATCCTGTACCACTCTTCTGCACCTCTTCGCCAACCTCCTCATGTTTAGTAGTTGCCTCATCTGATTCAGCAGAACCTTGAAAAGTTGTCTCCACGGACAGTGTATTTTCACTAGAAGAATTGTTAGGATTCAGTAAAACATCTGGAACGCCACCGTCATCGTTACGTAAGGCAGTTTCAGCTTCTCTAATAAGCTCAGTCTTTGCAGGAGCTACTTCTAGTGCGACACTCTCTTCTTCGTTTCCGCTTGGCAGATTATGTTGCGAGACCGCAATTGAGGAACTTCGTTCCCGAGCATTACCGTCAACAATTTCTTCGGGTTCTTTGGCATTGTCCTTTGACAATGAACTCACCTTTGGTCCGTCCTTCGAAGGGGAGATTCGCTCTTTTGACTCGTGACCAAATGGCTTAGGGTATAACGCCGTCTTCTTCTCAAAGCTATCCGGAACTCCTGAAAAATGAGAATTCTCTTGTTTCATCTGCTGCTCAAAGAGATGGATCTTTCTGGAGAAATCCTCGTGGTCTCGGCTCATGGTCAGCGCATACTTATCATCATCGTCGTGGCCTTCCAATTCGACAGCACCATAGATTGTTCTACCACTTTCTCCAACATTCTCGGGCCTTGACAGAAAGGCGATGTCATTAGGTCGCTCAACCAACACCCCAACCACTCCATCAGGAAACCGAGTAAGATATGGATCTCGTACCGCAACCCGTGAACCCTCCGGGTAGCAATTCTGCGCTTGCGCCATACTGGCCCTCACTGGCAACGCGTTCGTCAAGATGAGTTTCGTTGCAAGGCCCGAGTCCTCCTCCAACACATTTACCTGGAAGTAATAAACGAAACTCAGATCTAATCCAACGCAATCACTTGCAACAAGGATCAATATATTGAACTATCAAGGAGGACAAGTCACTGACCACAGATGTGACTTTTAGAGACTTCCCACACAGACGGCCTTCCAAGACATGCTTCCGATGTGTCTTCCCGACTTTCATCTCTGCGAGCGACATCAACTTGAAGTCTTTCCATGGCAACTCAGCGTATACGGGCGGAATCGGAGGCGCCTCGTTATCCGGCAATGAGGTCCCAGGCAATAAGCCTCGCTCCAGCATGTACGCATCGTGCAAAGCTGCTAGATGTGCAGCCAGCAACCCTGCTTTGTCGAATCTCTCTGAGGCAAGCACGGTTTCGCCGTGGACTGGTCCGACAAGCTTGCTAGTAACAGGTCCCCCTGGCGACGCTTGATCGAATCTGTCATGGTGGCTAGCTGAAAACTTTCTTCCAGGACTCTCGGAGGGATCCATCATTCTTAGCCCAGAATCGCCGCTGGAGAAGCTCTCCACCTCCTAAGATCTGAGATTCGCACCTCTACTTTCCAATTCACGGCGGACACCACTTGCTTTCTTGCCATCAGCAATCCATCAACGTCTCCAACCGTAGCTATAACTGTCAAGTAAACAAATAAACAATTGTGTAATGACGAAAACAAGTAAATAACACAAGGCACTGCGATAGCAATGATATTTTATCCGCTAATATAGACATCAGACATCAATTACACCCTAAGCACGTACAATACCTGAAGGGGGTGAACTGGGGAGAGAGGAGGAATTGCAAGACGATGCATGACATTAATGCATCTAGAATGTTCTCTGCATTCGCACACGAATATTTGCCCGCTATTTCGGTTGTACATTGCCACAACATTGCGTAATCAAAACCTATTTCTCAACAGCATCCCTGAAGAAGTTAATCTACTGGAGTTCTGCAAAATTGATCGTGATCTACCGGATCAAATTTTACAAGCCCGACCGAGATCGCAAAGCGTGAGAGGAACAACTTTCACCTAGATCACCTTTGCCACAACAACTTAATACTACAAATTGGTGATTGATCCTAGTGCCTGACTACTACATTAAAACCGAAAAGAAAAAGAAAAAAAAGAAAAAAAGAAAAAAAAAGAAAAGTCAAAAGCCTGATTCTGAATCAAAGGGATTTTCGATCATCATCGATGCCATTAAACTCAACCTCCGCCCCAAATCATCTAGTGTTCGGTTCGCGCAGACGCGCGGACCGACGTCAAGAGCCACGACCTCAAACACCCTCACAAAACTAAAACCACTTAAATACAATTCAGCAGTTGCGGCGCCAACCTCACAATTAGGTTTCTCCGCACAGGACCCAAGCACCCTACAATGCATCCACAACAACATTAAACCAGGCACATTCAAGCTCTCACCCAACCCGACGCCAACACACGATCTAACAAACCAGACCGCCAGCGACACCAACCAGCATCATCACATCTCCAGGCGTCTTGACTGACCTGGTGGAGACGCGTACAGCGGATGGCGCCAGAAATCGAAAGAGACACGAGCTAGATTCGGAGCCAGCTACGGTGCGATTGGATTCAAGTCACAACTCAAGGTTCAGAGCGCAACTACTCGATGATCGACGCTAGCATGCAAGCGCGTGCGTGGACTGGTGGTCGGGTAATGACGGTAGTGGAAGGAGGAAGAAAGAAAGGGAGGGAGGCGATGGGAGGGGGGAAGGCTAGATCCTGGAGGCAGCAACAACAGGAACAACAACAACAGCAACAGCAGCAATAGCAGGGGATTGAAAAGGGCGAAGGAGGGAGGGAGAATGCGAGGGGGGCGAGGGCGGGGTTGCGGGGGCTGTGCGGTGCATCAGCGTCGGCACCAATTCCTGCTGGTCCCTCGTTCTGACAGTGACCCCCTCCACCTGCTTAGATCCGCCCCTTCCGGCCCCTCCCCCCGTTCCCACCCAGGCAGGCCTTGTCCTCCTCTCCTCCGTGACACCCACTGCGTCTGACGTGGCTCAGACGTCGTCCTACGTGGTGCCACCCTGGATTCCATGGCTGATGTCGTGCTGGGTGGAACCCCCCGACGTATTAACTACAATGAATCATGTTTAATCTCCAAATTGACATGAAGATTTCTTTTTTTTGTAATTGTATAATGTATGATCTTAAATTTTTGCATTTTTTTTTTTAAAAATGTTCTTAATGCACATTAATTGGTACATACTATTAAAAATATATTGTTCTAAAAGAAACTTTAAATTTATTACAATAAACAAGTAATTAACATAGAATTTTTTGCTAAATAAGTATGATTAATATCTATGCAAATTTTAATGTGTATATATATATATATGCATATGCATACATACATATAATTTAGTAATTTAAAAAAATTAAAGTAAATATAAATAAGCCAATTTTTATTTATTTTAATATATTATTTATTATATTTTCTACACCAATTTTATTTTGTCTTATATATTAAAGCTATTATTTGTCTATAGCTTACTCAAATTGATGTTGATGTCCTAATGGCTTGTAATATTTTCATTCTCCTTCTCTTCCTCATTCAATTATGTTCAAATCCAATGATCCTCCATTTTGACCCTCTCGTCTCTCAATTTTGACTTCCACTTTACAAAAGAGCCACAAAAAGAAGAGCCTCCATTGCCACAAATTAGAATGTGTATGCCCTCTATAAAGAAATACTAGAACCGCATGCTATGTAAATGCAACCTCTACCATGCTCTTGCACACCCTTCTATTATCCATCTATACCTCCACTATTCCAACTTGTGTAGGACGTTCTTATTTATTCTCACTCTCTTGCTCCTTCCGCCCCTCACCAAGCTTTGTCTATTATATGTCTCCAACTCCATTTCTTTCTCAATCTATTCTTTACTAAGCTTTACCCATTATATACCTCAAGCTTTATATCTTTCTCCCTCCTTACTACAACAAAATAAACAAACAAATAAACATACATACAAATCAATTGAGATTGTGTCTAGGAGATGGAAATTAAATTTATAAAAGTTCACTAAAGTTTTGTTCATGCATTCAACTTTAATGATAAATTTTGATAATTGATGATAAATATTTTTTTATATTAAATGCAAAGCAAGGAATCTAATACTAATAATGATTGAAGTAGATAAAAATATTAAAAATATTAAATTATATATATATATATATATATATTCATATAATTTATTATTGACTTGAAATAATAATTTAAAAATTAAAAATATTAATTTATATTTAAAAAATTATACATATATATATATTTTTTAATTTTTTTAAATACTTATAAATAAATTTATAAAAATTATAAGCTAATTTGACTAAAAAATATATATTTAAAAATTTAAGATTTTATTTAATTTTTAATATAATAAATATAATCAATAATATATTTATAAACATATTCGATGATTAAAAAAATATAGTATTACATAACAAAGAGACAAAAAGACTAATAAAAAATATATTTATTAAATACAAAGGTATTTGAATAGTTATTATTAAATACATAGAAACCAAATAGTTACAAATCAAGACTAAAATAGAAGAAAGATATTGATTACATTAAGAATGGTTTTGATTTTGCATCTATATATAATAATACAATATTTTTCTACTACATTAATATTTTTTAAAACAATAAAGCTTTTTAGCTTTAATTCTTTTGTATATTTTATAATTTATATTTAAATAGATGTATCTTTTTTTAATTTATTATTTTTTGTAAAGCTAATGGTTTTTATTTAATTGAAGTAATTTTTAAAATTATAATATTATAATTTATTTTACATAATTATTTAGATTAATGTAAAAAAATAATTATTGAGTTTGCTATAAAAATAAATATATTTTAGTATAATACAACAACTAAATAGATTAAGTGATAATATCTTAATACCAAGTCACATCTATGGATAAATCCTTAAATACTAGAATATTGTATATGATACTATTATCTAGTTATTAAAAATATGATATAATATAAAAACACAAATTACATTATTTTTTCATATTGACTTTTTTTCTTCATATATTATATTATATTTTTGATATTTAAATAAAAATTTAAATAAATACTCTAATTATAATTTTATTTATTATAATAGATCTCTTTAAAATAATATTATATTAGAAATTATATGTTTGATATGTAAAACTTTAGTATAAAAAAAATTTAAACTATCAAATAAAAATTATCAATAATTGGTATATACTTTAGCTTTATTTATCATAAATAATAAAACAATAATTTTTTTATTCTTTATATAAAAATAATCTTTTCATATGTTTTAGAACTAAATTATATTATAAGTTCATTAGATTGTCAATGTATCTTTTACCATCTATCTATATATGTATATTTGTAATTGAATATAAAAATCATATATATATATATATATATACATACATACATAAATATACATATGATTTTTATTTTATTGAGAAGGTGATAGATTTAAAAGTTTAGAAAGACGTAAAATTTGATTTTGAAAAAGAAAAATATAAAATATCAACTAAATACAATATAAATTCATTCAATAAGACATAATTTAACATAAAATTTTTAGATTATTTTTTATTAATATTTTTTATTTAATATATATTATAAGATAAAATAAAATATTACTATATTAATTATAAATAGATTTATTACTATGACTTCTAAAAGAGGGATTAGAGTTGTATCATTGAGTTCAATAAATATGTCATCCAATTTTTAAATTAAAAGTTTTTTGCAAATTATAGAATTATTTTAATCTCTATAATATTTATTATACACAAAATCAATGATAAAATAAGCATCATAAAGAAATAATCTATAATTTAAAAATTGAAGAAATTATCGATAAAAAATTGGTAAAAAAAATGAAAACTCAATACTTTAAAGTTATAAAAAAAAGAAAAAAAGAAAAAAAGAAAAAATACAAGATTTTTGATGACTTAAAATACTAAAAAAATATTAGGTGTTCTTGCAGCTTTTATTTACATATAATCCAAAGGATTTCTATAACAAAAAGAAAATTGAGGATAATATAAATCAATATACAAAGGTTTTGTTCCTTCAAAAATCAACAATTCGTAACTTCTCTAAAAACTTTTTTGTTGTATTTTACTATGTTCACTTGAATTGCATCAGTTTTAAGTTTTTTTTCTAAATTTGTATTCATGTCTAAAATAAATTCATGAAATATAACTCAAGGTGGTGGCTTATAAATTAAAGTTTCTTTCATTGATAAATCTTGTGCCTATTCTTCAAAGGTATTGTATTATGTATTGTCTTGTATGGAAATGCACCAAGCACTCAATTAAAGAAGGTAAAATTATATTTTGAAACTAATAAAGAACCTAAAATTTCTAATAAAATCGTAAATAAACCTCAAATTAACTTTATAAATTACAATCAAATTATAATTAAATTCTAAAGAAATTTTAAAGAATTTCCAAAAAAATTACAAATAACCTTAAAAATATCTTAAATAAGTTCTAATTCATCCTATCTAAATCCAAAATAAAATAAAAAATTATATATATATTTTAAAAATTTCTTTTGTAAATTCTAATCAAATTTTAATTAAATTCTAACCAAACTTTATGTAAATTATGTAAAAACTTTAAAACATCAATAATTGCTAATTCTATTATTGATCTTAATTTAAAAAATTATAATTTTTAATCTACTAATTGATATAATGAACAAAAAATTTGAAAAAAAATTAAATTTATAAATATAAAGCAAAAGCTCTTAATCAGTTTGAATTCTGACAATTCGTATTTTTAAACTTTAATGTTGAATCTTTAGCATAAATAAACTTTTTTCACTATTTAGTTTTTTTAGAAATTTTTATACATTAGAAACTAAATCAATTATCAACTTACAAAAAAATCATTTCAATCCAACCAATTAATTGCTCAAAATTATTAAAACCATTATTAATCTTTAAGATCTAATTTCTTAGATTCTTATCTACTTGAATTTCAATAGCCTTTCATCTGATTATTTGATATAGCTCAAGTTTACAAAATACATGTAATCTAACTATCTTCACAAACTTATTTTTTTTTTACTTATAGATCTACTACAAAACTTATTCAACTCTCATAAATTTAAACCATTTTTTTATTTTATAAAATCCACAATCACTTAAAAAACTATGACTTTGTAAAGCTCTTACAAAGACTATTATCTACTAAAATCATTTAAATTAATTTTTAAAGAAACCCTATTAAGTTTTCACTCCGATTTCACTTTTTAATAATCATAAATAATCACAATTGCCATAAGCAGACAATTTTGTATCTTAGAGTGTGATTTCAACTTTTATTCACAACCAATTCTCTTCAAATATTAATATAAAGATTTTCTAAGTAATTTTTGATGAAAGATATATTTTATTCTCACCTAAAGATGCTTATAATATTTTTTTGTTAATCCACCATTTTTTTCCTTATTTATTATCTTATAAGTAGATTATTTTATTTTATTTTATTTTATTTTATAATAATGCAATATTAATACTAAAAATTTTACTATCTTTTTATTTTTTATTTATATTTTTTTAAAGTTATTTTTTTACTATATCTTTTAATTAAATTCTTACATAATATAATCTTTATTTTTTTTTTCTTTTATCTAATATATGTATTACAACACAATAGAGCTTATGATTGTCTGCTAATGTGAATTATGGAATTGACTCTCTAATGTATTTTAGAACAAAAAATGCACTTATAAAGCTTTAAGCATTATTGTAGTGAGTTAGTATAGGAAAGTTGAAATAAATAGCAAAATAATAGAATTTTAATTACAAAAAGAAGCTCTTGTAGAGTTTTTTTT